TCCTTCCAAATCACTCATTGTTGATTTTGCGATTTCCAACTTGTGTAATGTTTATGTGCAATGGCCAATGAGCACCGTTTTATCTATAATTTATCTTCATATGACAAGGATTGAAAAGGATTTGCCAGTAGATGGTCGACGTGATTCATGATGATGACTGCTTGTCTAGCTTGCTAGCTAAGATTTTGAAAGTATGATGTTGACATGATCGGTCCAATCAAAGCTATAGATATAACGTGATTTGACGTCATTCTATCTGTGGCCAATGACCTTGAGCCTTCTTGGATGGGCACTTCTAATGTAAATCTATGGCAGCACCCAAGGGGCTTGAACTTTCTAGCTCTCCCTGTAGATTTTGCGGTGACGTAGTGTCTCCATGAGTGGCAGAACACTGAGCCAATCACGGCGCAACTAGAGAAGATTACCAAACCCTACGTTCTGTATTTTCTGCTGACTGCTCTCCACCACAGAAAGTACTGAGTTAGGCTGAAACACCTACATTTTGGAGCTGCCTTACCCAAGATAGCAAAAAATAATCCATGTTTGTATGAGGCTTTATTAACTCAATCTATTCTTTTTTAAACATTGTTTGCATTCTGATATGAGACACGTATTAATGCCAAAAATAACATACAAAACAGGCAACAACAACAACAATATATATATATATATATATATATATATATATATATTTTTACGCTAAACAGGTGGGGCTCAAAACAGGTGGGGCTCTGCCCTGAATGAGGGGTCGCCACTGGGCCAATGACCTTGAGACTTATTGGATGGGCACTTCTAATGTAAATCTATGGCAGCACCCAAGGGGGCTTGAACTTTCTAGCTCTCCCTGTAGATTTTGCGGTGATGTAGTGTCCCCATGAGTGACAGAACACTGAGCCAATCACAATGCAACTAGAGAACATTACCTAAGCTCTTTATTTTCTGTTGGCTGCCCCTCCACCACAGAAAGCACTGAGCTAGGCTGAAACACCTGCATTTTGGAGCTGCCTTACTCAAGAAAGCAAAAAAGAGACCATTTTTGTATGCGGCTTTATTAACTCAATAATTTTTTTTAAACATTATTTGCAAACTAACATGCAAAACAGGCACACCAAAAAAATCTCCTTTTGTTTTTAGCTAAATATGTGGGGCTCAAAACAGGTGCCCTGAATGACAGGTCACCACTGCATTGGCCACAGATAAAATTACCTCAAATCACGTTATATCTAACGTAGTTTTGATTGGTCTGATCATGTCAACATCATACTTTCAAAATCTTAGCTAACAAGCTAGACAACCAGTCATTATCATGAATCACGTCGACCATCTACTGGAAAATAATTTTCTATCCTGAAGATCACTGACGTCATGATTCGGCCTTGTTTTTTTTTCCAGAGTGCCCAGTTGTCTTGAAAGCACCATAAATCCAGAGAATGCCACACTTTGATTACAAAGTTTCATGACAAAATTTGCCAACAAGAAGGACCACCGCGCCACCTTTCTGTTCAAGTGAGCACAACAATGAGTCCAAAAATGTATTGTATGCTGCTGCATAAATGATGTAATATGCCAGGGAGATATGTATACTGTAGCTAAGAAAGTAATACTAAGTGTAAGCTGTTAGTAGCCCATGTGCCTCACACTAATAATTTTGTCCCTTTCCCCCTCATAATTTACCCTACTGTTCTGACGTGGTGGTGAACATGTGGGCTCCCGAGTGGCGCAGCGGTGTAAGGCACTGCATCTCAGTGCTTGAGGCGTCACTACAGACCCCCTGGTTCGATTCCACGCTGTATCACAACCGGCTGTGATAGGGAGTCCCATAGGGCGGCGCACAATTGGCCCAGCGCCGTCTGGGTTTGGCCGGTGTAGGCTGTCATTGTAAATAAGAATTTGTTCTTAACTGACTTGCCTAGTTAAATAAAGGTTACAAAAAATTGCCTATACCCTGTTTTAGAGAAATGTCACCATTGAATATTGTACGAGCTTTCATTGTCTGCTTATATGCCCCCTTTATTTATCCTACGGTTCTGACTTGGTGTACAGGGAGAATACTGTAAGAACGGCCCATGTTTTGAATTCTGTCGCTGTACATTTCAAAAGTGCTGAACAAATAGTTATTTTGATTACATCCGTCTTAGCTCGCTCATTAATGTCTTAATGGAAATTACGGATTGTCTCTTATCCGCTCATCGTTCCCTTATGCCATAGTTTATACATCTCAATTGTCAGTAGAAACCATATTTGTTTTAGCAAGTCAGCCATATCAGCTATGTTTTTTTTAAAGGCAGTAAATGAGGCTGAATGAACTGTTTCGCTGCCAGACAAGCCTCCGCTGATAGCCAGGTGTAGCCGTGGTAAGGATTCACTCCATGGTGCTGAAAAAAAGGCTCTGCTGTTGGGACAGTTTTATGTAAGCCAGTTTGTGGGAACCGTTTGTCACCGTTATAGTGCAATGACTGTATTGTTTAGTGTTGTGTTGTGTAGTGGCTTTACTGGCATGCATCTAAAACAAATTTGGGGGAGTTTGCCCAACCAAGATTTACATGCTAAAATTGCCACTGGTAGTCAATATGTCCCTATATTGAAACAGGGAAACCAGTCAGGTGCAGTCTTACCCACCTGTAGAACTATGACAGCGCTGTCATATCCAAAATCGGCGGGATAATCGGAACTACCTCTCCCGGTGAACAGCTACTCGGAACTACCTCTCCCGGTGAACAGCTACACGGAACTACCTCTCCCGGTGAACAGCTACTCGGAACTACCTCTCCCGGTGAACAGCTACTCGGGATGGCCCTACCGGTCCTAGGCGTCGGTGGTTATAGTAGTAATCCTGTCAATTAAAGACTCGGCGTCCTGTGGCACCTTCTCTCCCTTACCATGGGTAAGAATCAGCTGAGCAGGGAAGAGGAGGCCGTGTCTGATTCCCACGTCTCTGAGTTTCTTCCTTGCTCCATCGAAGGCCTGGCGCTGCTTGGTTACCTCAGCAGTGTAGTCTGGGTATATGTTAACCCGAACCCCGTTGAAGGACAGGGGGAATTGCTGCTGGGACAGGCGCAGAATATTTTCCTTCTCAGGGTCGTGGTGGATTTTGGCAATCATGACGCGGGGCAGTGGAGAGCATGCCGATGCGGTCTGTCCACTTTTAGGCCTTGGGGGAAATTGTTAATCCCTAACAGTTTTGGTATGAGTTCTGCCACGAATTGAGTTGGTCTGCCCTTCTCAATATTTTCTTCCAAGCCTGTGATTTTGATATTCGAACGCCCCTCGAGGTCAATTAGCTTGAGTTTCATAGCTTTGTTTGCTGTTAGTAGCTCTTCATACTGTCCCTAGAGGGTGGTGATGCGTGTCTCGTGGTCACCAGCGTTTCCTTCCAGGTCAATAATGCAGGTTGTGTGGTCAGCCAAGGAGGTTTGCACTGATTGTAAGGATGAATCCAGATGATTAAATCGAGTGTTCATGTCCTCTTCCATTTTCTTGATAGCTGCTAATATGATTCGAGTCAGGGTTAGCCATGCTAGCCATTACGGCCAGGCTAATGCAAGCATCGCCATCCTCGTCTTGTGCTGTTGTGGGTTCAGACACAACGGTAGGGACTTTGCTGTCTCTCTTACCGGTTGTTTTTGGATTATTTAGTTTCCCCTTGGATGTGTTTCTCATAGGGTTTGCTCATTGTAGCAGTTTGGTCGGGCAAAAGTAGAATTTAAATCAAATTTAAGCAAGGGTGAGGAGGTAGTCAGAGAAGCGTCTACTCCATGTGGTGCTCACTAGCGCCCCACTTAGTGATTCATTTTAAGGTTAAAAAACCTGTCCCTCATGTTAAGGTCAACCCTGTTAAGTGAACTGAACTTTCGTTTTATGGTGAAACTATTCCTTTAAAAAAAATCCAAATCAAACAGACATTGAACATCTAATAGTCAAATCATAGTGTAAAAGCAGGTGAGCTGGTTCTACTCTTTTTGGACATTTTCTGGTGTTTTGCGGTGGAAAACTGAGCCGGTCGAGCAAAACATGTCAAATAGGCTAGAAATGTTTTAACTTTTAAAAAGATGTGTGAAGCTTGCATTCAATTGCCCTCCCTGTTGCACACGACAAGCTTCCAATCCCCCTGACACAAGAGGATTAAAGGCTGATGTAAGATGAAGCCATCAATCCTGTTACGGTCAACCTTGTTACGGTCAACCCTGTTACTTTATTTGACACTTAATAGGCACTTACTATAGTCCTTTTTTTATTGAGTGTTTTTTATTTAGTTGAACATGTGCTCTTTATGACTGTTAAAAATAGGTGTTTTCGTTTTTTGAGGAGGGGAGCAGACTCATTTGTTTGCCTACTAATAAATTGACACTCTCCTTGACCACTCAACCAGTTATCAGTTTCCAGGTCACGGAGGAGAGAGGACGGAGAAGTCGACGAGAGAACAGACGTTTTCCTAAATGAGAATCTCCCCTTATGTATTACTGAACCCCACCCCAGTTGCAAGAAGTCACATCCCCCCCCCCAAAAAAACACAACCATTCTAAAACACATGGATACTAGCCTCCCACATGCTTTCTGTCCCTGAAACTACAACTAAATAAAAACGAATATAAAAACAACTATAATAACCTTGATGCTCTGTTATTAAATTAAATCCATGTTTTTCTCCATGAAGTAATCTAACAGTGTATGCCACCATCATAGTTGGATTTCCTCATTCCTTCAAAATTATTTATATAATTTCATAACAGAGCATTTTCTAAATTCCAACGAACCACCTGCAACTAGCCATTGAAGTTTAGAAGACAGCTGTGGCTTCCAGGTGGGGAATTGAGGAAGTATCGCCAAGTAAATGTTGGTCGAAAATTTGCTGCTTATCCTTAACACTACCTACGTATCAACAGCTGGAACAGCTAGTATTGACGGACAAGCCATTGATTTATTAGCTAGAGTTCTTCCAGTTCAAGTTATGTGGACATGAAAAGTGTTTCCCTCCCAGTAATCCTGTGCTTTTGGTTCAGTGAGACAGTGATGCGGGTGGATGAGTTGGTGGTCAAGGTGAAGATGTCCATGTACAAAGATCACACCTACACAGAGGCGTTCCAAAGCTCACCCCTGATCCACATCCGGGACAAGGTGTAAGTGGAGGTCAAGGTCAAGGAGCCGGAAGACTTCTTCCACCTGAGGGTGAATGAGTACTGGGCCACACAGTCCCCCAAACCCAACTAGACAGAGGGCTCCGTTCACACCCGGCTGCTCAACGGGTCAGTGGACCATCAAACATTCATCCATGTGAACATGTAGGCCTATTATTGCACTTTAAACATGGTATGAACAATTCATCTAACAAGCTGTGAGCAATTCAGTTGTGAGCTGAGCTTAATACTGAATCTGCTACAATTATGCATGTCTTCTGTGCAAATTGTTTAAGTTCAATGATGGAGGGTCTTGGATTTTACATTCTAATGATCAGATAAAGATCTGTTCAATCTAATACACTCTTTCACAAGGGTGTGTGAATGACGAGAGGGTCACCTTTCTAAATGTGACATCCGGGCACAAACAGAGAGGACTCCACTATCCGGTACAGCTTTGACATGTTCCGCTTTGTCGAGGAGCCTCAGGACCAGTACATGCACTGCACAGTGCGCTTGTACTCCCCGGACGATAATGAACCCTGCAACCCTGTAAGTTCCCTGACCTTCAGTTCACTGTCAGGAAAAGATCAAACGCATCAGCCAGATTAATTTATTTCCAAACAGTCATTTCAATTCATGAAGCCAATTCATTTTCAGACGTTTGCATGGCATAAAAAGATTTAGACGTTTATAGATACAATATTGATTATCTACACCCCTCCGTCCTTCCCACTGCTACAGGAGTGCAAATCTATAACCAAGGGCGGCAGTGCGTGGAGACTCAACTCGAGGCCTACTGTCATATGGACTAATCAGGATTTACATACCAGACAGACCACAATCTAGTAAGGATTTTTGATTTCTGAAGATTGTAGAAAATACACTTAATTTTGTTTGGGTGAGGGCTCCTCAAATCTTTCCCTCGCTCGCTCCACTTGCATGTGATAATATGATTGTGATATAGTCCTGGGCTCATGTTGAGGCTAGGGCGGCTGGGGCAGGGTGGTGGTATTTGAGAGGAGTCAACTGTTGTCTTGACTTGATCAATTCCTATTCCATCATGTACTTTAGAGACATCGGAAGAGTTGCCGTGCTTGATAACAGACAGATTTAAACCAGCAACTCATGTTCCTTGTTTAAACTTGTTTGTAACCCACAGGCACATTCTTGAATACCACTCACCCTCTTTTTGGTTTCTATGACAATGAAATGAGTCTCTGCAGAAATTGTGTGGTTTTGACAATAATTTGATAATCCAGCTCTGCAGTTATTCAAGAATGTGCCTGTGGGTTACAAACAAGTTTAAACAAGGAACATGAGTTGCTGGTTTAAATCTGTCTGTTATCAAGCAAGGCAACTCTTTCAATGTCTCTACAGTAGATGATGGAATAGGAATTTATCATATAGTACAGTTGACTGTAACTGCACTTTAGGAAATTGTAGTGATTCTTAGTCATCAGCAGATGGCAATAGGATCCTTTCTGTTGAGGTGTCAGATGGTCTATCATTCAAGAGGCAGAGTTTTACCCTGACGACTAGCACTAAATTCTTCTTGGTCCGTGCTATCCGGGATACTTGAGAAGTCCCTTACCCATTGAAGTTTAAATTTAACATGGTTATGGTTAGGGTAGGTTTAGGGTTAGAATTTAGGGCATGGACGTCCCAAGGATACCAGATAGCACTGACCCTAACGTCTTCCGCTGCTTTGTCGTTCGCTACGTCCGTGGGCGTAGCGTTTGGCCTGATCAAGGAGATTGGGTAGCCAGACAAGGGGAGTTACTTTCCAGAGGAAAATTGCTTTGTCCAATAGACACCCACACAGTATGTACACCGATTTCCTCCCCTTCTTTCTAGCAGAAAGTCACTGCTCCCTTTTTGTTTTCTAGCAGATCTCAGAAGGCAGTGAGTTTATTGGACTATTAATGTCCAGTGCAGCCTGCAAGAGACATGCTGTGGTTGAGGGGAAATAAGGAAATCTAACGGATGCCTTCTGGATACTTGGGGAGAAATAATTTAAGCCAATTGTATTTTTGTACATTTTTATTAGGCTATAGGTTATCCTCCACATTTACGTTTTTCAGCACAGTACATTGTGCATTGGATGGATACACAATCGTACCACAAAGAAGACAAAGCTTGTTGCAACTAAAATACTTTTTTTCGTTCCTGTTCTCCTCCCTCATACTTCATCGTGCAGGAAAGCTATTGTTGAATGTGTAGAGGGGAAGGAACATGCGGTCTGATATCTGTAATATGCTAGAGGAAATTACCATGCTGTGTTAACCATTAGCCCATGTGGGACATTAGGAAATGGGATTGAATAGAAAAACTGACCCGGCCTTTGAATAACAGGTGATCACATCTTTGGGGAAAATTGCAAATTAAGCATATTTTCCTGTGAGATTAAGCCGAACTGTTTCGGAAACTTGGATAGTTTGCAAGCGATCTGATTTGAGCGCACCGCGACCTAAATAATGGCCAGGGGTTGAAGTGCGGAGAGAACTTCTAAAACATACAAGAAAAACTGGATTTTGAACTCAACTAAAAGTTAGACTTTTTATGTAGTCACATAGCGGTTCACTCATCACATCCAACTGTGACAATCCCTCGCACCGGCTAACGAGTGCGCACAAAGATGGCATTCCTCTGGAGACGCGCTTCTCCGGGGCTGTGGAAACAAATAATGGCTCCGCTTGTCTTGCTCTTGTGCAACAGGCTTGTGGCCAATGCGGACGATGACACTTTCAACGCAGAGGTGCAGTATTTTATATGAATGTCATAATATGGATAAGAGCGTTTGCTAAATATGGACGTTTTTTTAATGGAATTGTGGCAGTCCGGCATTGCATGACCATGATCTCTATTAGCCTGGTCTAACATTTACATTTTAGCGACTTACAGTTAGTGAGTGCATACATTCTTTCATACTGGCCCCCCGTGGGAATCGAACACACAACCCTGGCGTTGCAAACGCCATGCTCTACCAACTGAGCTACACGGGGCCTCAGATAGTGATGATCTAAATGGTCTTCACTGATCTTTTAATCTTCTAATGACTTCTCATGTTTTTGACATCACTGGTCAACAAGGCATGCACAAATTATTGGAAATATTTGGTGTGCAGATTTATGACCCTTGACCTTTTCCTAACTTTCTCACTTCCATATATGGCAGGCATATTAGGATTAATTATGTGTTGGGGAAAAGTTTGACCTCTAGGTTAAAACTCAATTTACATGCCTGTAAATGACAGAATCACTGTGCTGCTTTTCCTACAGCCATGTTGTCTTTAGGGTGGCTGATTTCTCTTGCTCTTCTGCTCTCTCTCTCGCCTGTGTGTGTGTGTGTGCAATGCATGCCTGTTTACAGAGAACGCATGAACTCTCCAGCTGTGCTCAGTGGGCCCATTACCTTTTTTAATTCCCCTTTCAAGGGTTTACAAAGGCAAGCTCTCTGTGCTATGACTTGGTTGGGTGTCTTTCATTTGTTTCCATTGGATTATTGAGTGTATGTTAATCTTGCATGCCAGACTTTCCAGCCAGATATATTTCTGGTTCTGGTTAGATTAATGGTGTGTGTGTATCTATATATATATATATATATATATATATATATATATATATACTGAACAAAAATATAAACGCAACATGTAAAGTGTAATAATGTTCTGGGATCTGAAATAAAAGATCCCAGAACATTTACAGCTTATTTCTCTCAAATTTTGTGCACAAATTTGATTACATCCCTGTTAGTGAGCATTTCTCATTTGCTAAGTTAATCCATCCACCTGATAGGTGTGGCATGTCAAGAAACTGAATAAACAGCATGATCATTACACAGGTGCACCTTGTGCTGGGGACAATAAAAGGCCACTCTAAAATGTGCAGTTTTTTCACACAACACAATGCCACAGATGTCTCAAGTTTTGAGGGAGCGTGCAATTGGCATGCTGACTGCAGGAATGTCCACCAGAGCTGTTGCCAGATGATTAAATGTAATTTCTGTACTATAAGCCGCCTCCAATGTCATTTTAGAGAATTTGGCAGTACGTCCAACCAGCCTCACAACTGCAGACCACGTGTAACCATGCCAGCCCAGGACCTCCACATCCGGCTTCTTCACCAGCGGGATCATCTGAGACCAGCCAGCCAGACAGCTGATGAAATTGTGGGTTTGCACAACCGAAGAATTTCTGTACAAACTGTCAGAAACTGTCTCAAGGAAGCTCATCTGCATGCTCGTCGTCCTCACCAGGGTCTTGACCTGACTGCATTTCGGTGTTATAAGTGACTTCAGTGGGCAAATGCTCACCTTTGATGGCCACTGGCAGGCTGAAGAAGTGTGCTCTTCACGGATGAATCCCGGTTTCAACTGTACCGAGCAGATGGCAGACAGTGTGTATGGCGTCGTGTGGGCGATCGGTTTGCTGATGTCAACGTTGTGAACAGAGTGCCCCATGGTGGCGGTGGGGTTATGGTATGGGCAGGCATAAGCTACAGACAACGAACAAAATGGCAATTTGAATGCACAGAGATACCGTGACGAGATCCTGAGGCCCATTGTCTTGCCATTCATCCGCTGTCAACACCTCATGTTTCAGCATGATAATACACTGCCCCATGTCGCAAGGATCTGTACACAATTCCTGGAAGCTGAAAATGTCCAAGTTCTTCAATTGCCTGCATACTCACCGGACATGCCACCCATTGAGTATGTTTGGGATGCTCTAGATTGATGTGTACGACAGCGTGTTCCAGTTCCTGCCAATGTCCTCCAACTTCGCACAGCCATTGAAGAGGAGTGGGACAACATTTCACAGGCCACAATCAACAGCCTGATCAACTCTATGCAAAGGAGACGTGTCGTGCTGCATGAGGCAAATGAGGTCACACCAGGTTTTCTGATCCATGCCCCTACTTTTTAAAATAATAATAATATGTCATTTAGCAGACGCTTTTATCCAAAGCAACTTACAGACATGTGCGCATACATTTTTACGTATGGGTGGTCCCTGGGATCGAACCCACTACCTTGGCGTTACAAGCGCCATGCTCTACCAATTGAGCTACAGAGGACCTGTGATCAACAGATGCATATCTGTATTCCCAGTCATGTGAAATCCATAAATTAGGGCCTAATAAATGTATTTAAATTGACTGATTTCCATATGTGAACTGTAACTCAGTAAAATTGTTGCATTTTGAGTTTATATTTTTGTTCAGTGTGTGTGTGTGTGTGTGTATACTGTATATATGTATATACACTACCGTTCAAAAGTTTGGGGTCACTTAGAAATGTCGTACAACGCTGTGTACTACTCCCTTCACAGAACAGCGCAAACTGGCTCTAACCAGAATAGAAAGAGGAGTGGGAGGCAGAATTCCAAAGGAAAAGCCATATCTCAGACTGGCCAATAAAAATTTAAGATTAAGATGGGCAGTCTGAGAAATGGCTTTTTCTTTGCAACTCTGCCTAGAAGGTCAGCATCCCGGAGTCGCCTCTTCACTGGTGACGTTGAGACTGGTGTTTTGCGGGTACTATTTAATGAAGCTGCCAGTTGAGAACCTGTGAGGCGTCTGTTTCTCAAACTAGACACTTGCTCCTCTATTTGTCCTCTTGCTCAGTTGTGCACCGGGGCCTCCCACTCCTCTTTCTATTCTGGTTAGAGCCAGTTTGCGCTGTTCTGTGAAGGGAGTAGTACACAGCGTTGTACGAGATCTTCAGTTTCTTGGCAATTTTTCACATGGAATAGCCTTCATTTGTCAGAACAAGAATAGACTGACGAGTTTCAGAACAAAGTTATTTGTTTCTGGCCATTTTGAGCCTGTAATTGAACCCACAATTGCTGATGCTCCAGATACTCAACTAGCCTCAAGAAGGGCAGTTTTATTGCTTCTTTAATCAGCACAACAGTTTTCAGCTGTGCTAACATAATTGCAAAAGGGTTTTCTAATGATCAATTAGCCTTTTAAAATGATAAACTTGGATTAGCGAGCACATTGTGCCATTGGAACACAGGACTGATGGTTGCTGATAATGGACCTCTGTACGCCTATGTAGATATTCCATTAAAAATCAGCCGTTTCCAGCTACAATAGCCATTTACAACATTAACAATGTCTACACTGTATTTCTGATCAATTTTATGTTCTTTTAATGGACAAAATAATTGCTTTTCTTTCGAAAACAAGGACATTTCTAAGTGAGCCCAAACTTTTGAACGGTAGTGTGTGTGTGTGTGTGTGTGTGTGTGTGTGTGTGTGTGTGTGTGTGTGTGTGTGTGTGTGTGTGTGTGTGTGTGTGTGTGTGTGTGTGTGTGTGTGTGTGTGTGTGTGTGTGTGTGTGTGTGTGTGTGTGTGTGTGTGTGTGTGTGTGTGTGTGTGTGTGTGTGTGTGTGTGTGTGTGTGTGTGTGTGTGTGTGTGTGTGTGTGTGTGTGTGTGTGTGTGTGTGTGTGTGTGTGTGTGTGTGTGTATATATATGTGGTCCTCTGTAGCTCAGCTGGTAGAGCATGGCGCTTGTAACGCCAGGGTAGTGGGTTCGATCCCCTGGACCACCCATACACAAAAAAAATGTATGCACACATGACTGTAAGTCGCTTTGGATAAAAGCATCTGCTAAATGGCTTATTATTATATATATATATAGTACAGTTGAATATAGACAGTTGAGTCTTCTTTTTCTTTTTTTACATTTCCTGTACATATTGTAAGTTATTTGTTTTGTGTTGACTAACTGTAAGTCTCTCTGGATAAGAGCGTCTGCTAAATGACAAAAATGTAATGTAAATGTGTTGAAGAGAGACACATTGGTTTCCATACCCTGTAAACCGTCTATGGACAAGGTATGACAGCAATCCATGGTTTGGTTTCCCTGGCACTGTTTCCAGATTTGTGGCACAAATCCCATTCAAGTCATGGGACCGATATTATCATTTTTCGCGCATTATGTCCAAATCATCCGAAAGTATCTAAAATTGATTGTAACTTGAATGGGATTTGTACCACAAATGCTAAAACGTTAGCATGTGGAAACAGTGCCAGGGAAAGTAAATCAAGGCATGGATTTCTGCCATACCTTATCCATATACTACTTACAGGGTAAGGAAACCAATGTCATTTTGTAATTTGGGTGAACTGTCCCTTTAACAGCTTATATTCCAAAGCTTTTACTATTAGACCATATGACGCCTGCTCTGTCTGTCCTATTAACCACAGGATCGGATCAGTAGATATCTAAGCTGCCAATAAGGAGGTGCGACTCAAAGGAGGAATGCCATAGAAACCATCTGTTTCTCTGTCCTCTGTCTCTATTTTTCTATTTTTTAACCCCTCTCTCTCCCCATTTGTTGTTTCTCTCTCATTCTCTTTGTCGCTTTCTCTATCTCTCTCTGGCTCTTTCTCTGTCACTCATTCACTCACACACACTCACTCACTCTCTCTCCATCTCTCTATCCCTGTTGTGTAATTGTAGTCTTGGTTGCGGAGTTTTGGCTACCTGTCCCAGGCCAGTAGACAAATGTCCACCATGCAGTCCTCTCAGATCCTGTCAAATGCCGTCAGCGACATGCAGCGCTTCTATGGCCTGGAGGTCACTGGAGAGATGGACACTGCCACACTGAAGTATGGATGGCACTGACAGCCTAAATTATACTATTCTCCTAGTGTCTGCAGCCCACCAGGTTGACTGTACAGCCTGATAGACTAAATTGATAATGATGTCAAGATAATGTAGGGTCATGATTACATTTATAGAGCTATTCTGAGCCAGATAAAAGTTGCACCTCCTGGTCTAGGAGTATGGAACCACTCTCTAGCCTTAAATTAACATTAATGTATCTAATCTTATCTGTGGTTATTAGGGCTCTTTTCAATTGTGTTTTTCTCTCTTCCCTTTAGGGCCATGAGAAGGCCTCGCTGTGGAGTCCCAGACAAATCTTTTGGGCAGACTGAGAACGGTGTGAGGCGGAAACGCTACACTCTCACTGACCAGAGGTGGGACAAGAACCATCTGACCTACAGGTGTGTGGTAGGTCTATGTATGCTGGGGGATTCTAAGAAAACAATTTTGGGAATCTCACAGATTTCCCCCTGCTTGAACTGACGGCCGTGCAAAGCGTCAATATTAACAATATGTCAAAGATAACTGCATTCCCATATGTGTATAGACCACTGACAACACATACTTCATTTGTAATGACCCTCTCTATATATACTGAACAAAAATATAAATGCAACATGCAACAATTTCATAGATTTTACTGAGTTACAGTTCATATAAGGAAAACAGTCAATTGAAATAAATTCATTAGGCCCTAATATATGGATTTCACATGACTGGGAATACAGATATGCATCTGTTGGTCACAGATACCTTTAAAAAAAGGTAGGGGTGTGGATTAGATGTAAGATCTGCTGTGGATCTAGTGTGACCACCATTTGCCTCATGCAGCGCGACACATCTCCTTCGCATAGAGTTGATAAGGGTGTTGATTGTGGCCTGTGGAATGTTGTCCCACTCCTCTTCAATGGCTGTGCGAAGTTGGAGGACATTGGCAGGAACTGGAACACGCTGTCGTACACATCAATCTAGAGCATCTCAACCATTCCCAATGGGTGGCATGTCTGGTGAGTATGCAGCCCATTGAAGAACTGGGAAATGTTCAGCTTCCAGGAATTGTGTACAGATCCTTGTGACACGGGGCTGTGCATTATCATGCTGAAACATGAGGTGATGGTGGCGGATGAATGGCACGACAATGGGCCTCAGGATCTCGTCAATTGCCATCGATAAAATGCAATTGTGTTCATTGTCCGTAGCTTATGCCTGCCCATACTATAACCCCAACGCCACCATGGGGCACTCTGTTCACAATGCTGACGTCAGCAAACCGCTCACCCACACAACGTCATACACGTGGTCTGCGGTTGTGAGGCCGGTTGGACGTACTGCCAAATTCTCTAAAACTACATTGGAGGCAGCATATCGTAGAGAAATGAACATTCAATTCTCTGGCAACAGCTCTGGTGGACATTCCTGCAGTCAGCATGCCAATTGCACGCTCCCTCAAAACTTGAGACATCTGTGGTATTGTGTTGTGTGACAAAACTGCACATTTTAGAGTGCCCATTTATTGTCCCCAGCACAAGGTGCACCTGCGTAATGATCATGCTGTTTAATCAGCTTCTTGAAATGCCACACCTGTCAGGTGGATGGATTATCTTGGCAAAGGAGAAATGCTCACTAACATGGATGTAAACAAATTTGTGCACAAAATTTGAGAGAAATAAGCTTCTTGTGCGTATGGAAAATGTATTGGATCATTTATTTCAGCTCATGAAACATGGGACCAACATTTTACATGTTGCGTTTATATTTTTGTTCAGTGTAGTATGTGTAAGTGCTAAGAATATCTTGTCCTTTCCTCAACCCCCTCTCCCAGCATTATGAATACTACCCCAAAGGTCGGTGAAGAGAGGACACAGGAGGCCATCCGCAAGGCCTTTGAGGTGTGGGAGCATGTGACACCGCTGAGCTTTGAAGAAATCGCTTTCCAAGACATCACCAACAGCAGCCAGGACGCGCTAGATATCATGCTGTTGTTTGCCTCTGGTTTCCATGGAGACATGTCTCTGTTTGACGGCGAAGGGGGGTCACTGGCTCATGCCTACTACCCAGGGCCCGGTATGGGTGGAGACACACACTTTGACGCAGACGAACCGTGGACACTTGACAACCATAATCCATCAGGTTAGGTAGACACTTTGTCCCCTTTGCCCCCTTTGTCCCCTCAATCAGTCATTATATACAGACAAATTACTGCTACTATTTCCACGTCATTTTCATCAAAATGAATGCCCTATTAATATCTTTTGATATTTATTTTCTTTCCTTCCTATCTTTCTCTCTCCCTCTCTCCATTCCTCCCTCTTCTCCCCCCAGGTATTGACCTGTTCCTGGTTGCGGTGCATGAGCTGGGCCATGCTCTGGGTCTGGAGCACTCTAATAACCCCAATGCCATCATGGCTCCCTTGTACAAGTATATGGACACAAAGACCTTTTCACTCCCAGAGGATGACAGGAATGGAATACAGAAGATATATGGTGAGGAGCCCTTCCTTAGGCCCCCACAACACACACACACACACACACACACACACACATACACATACACACACACACACACACACATACACACGCACGCATGAACACCCACATGCACACACACACAATAGACCCCCTTCAATTGAGATTCTCCCTCACAGGGTCATGCCATACATGCCTTTACAATGACCTTACTCTTTCCATGACTGAATAGAAGTCATTGTGCGTTTGTGTGTCATAGAACTAGTGAATGTTTGTATGTGCACTGCAGACACACTGAAGATAGTATTTAGTGATCCTTATCGAAGTTCACACTCATAGTTAAACAGATACTTCAGGATTTTGGCAATGAGGCCCTTTATCTACTTCCTCAGAGTCAGATGAACTTGTGGATACCATTTTTATGTCTCTGTGTCCAGTAAGAAGGAAGTTAGAGATAGCTTCGCGAGCCAATGCTAACCGTCATTAGCAATTGCGCTAGTTAGCAACTTCCTTCAAACTGCACGCAGAGACACAAAAATGGCATCCACGAGTTCATCTCTGGGCAAGTAGATAAAGGGCCTCATTGCCAAAATCCTGAAGTATCCCTTTAAAGGTTGTGAGTCTTGTGTAAGTACTGTATGTCTGTTTTTCCTCTCTGTGTCAATGTGCAACCAGGAAGGCTTCCTTCCCAATAAGCTTCATGGGCTTCCTGCCACAGCACGGAGTGGAAAATTAGACTCTCTGTGTGTGTGTGTGCGCTTGTGCGCAAACAAGCAACAGAGGGAGAGGGAGGGGGGGGGGGGGACAGAGCAAGCAGGGATATGTGTTAGATTCATTTATTCAAACTTGTGGCATTTATAATGTCATCATCTTGAATTTTGCAGGACCTCCAGACGATGCGTCCACTCAGGACCCACCCACCACCACCAATGATGACACCACCCCTCACCAAGACCCCACCACTACTGCTCCTCCAGATCTAGACCCCACCACCACCCCTTATAGTTCTCTTGAGACAGACCCCCCCAGCCCCACCTATGACCCTGATACCCCAGACCAACAAGAACCAGAACCAGATCCCACAGACGCACCTCACCTCCCTCCAATACCTGACCCAGAACCCACCATCCCCTGGCCTGACGCTGTGCCGGTGACCCCCTACATCAGGAGAGATAAGCCTCGTGGCCCCATGCAGCCAGACCACACCGCCCCCGACATCTGTGACGGGGACTTTGATACGGTCACCATGCTGCGAGGGGAGATGTTTGTCTTCAAGGTGAGAAGCAGGGCTATTCTAAGAATACACCGTTTTTGTTTAGTTTGATTAATTCATACTCCCAAAAAAGAAGAATGAAGTTAGTAAATATGTTCTGATGGTGTCTTCTGTCCTTGCCAGGGTCACTGGTTCTGGAGAGTTAGAAGGAACCATGTTCTGGACAACTACCCAATGCCCATTTCTGTCTTCTGGGTTGGACTACCTGATGATATAGACTCTGGCTATGAACGGCATGATGGGAAATTTGTTTTTTTCAAAGGTCTATATTTTCCTTGAATCTCATATGAAGTTTATTTTTTGTAGAATTGTTGAAAGGTACTTGGGTCTATACACTCTAGAAACACAGTGACCAAGATATCATCCTTCTCCACTGCATTCCTCTTGTTTAAAACTACAGTCAGGGGATTAAGCTCATGGGGTGCAGCTAGCAGCAGTGGAAAGCAGCTGGCAGGCCTGGATGGATTGCATCAGTCGCTGCTCCAGATGCTGATTTCTAAGGTTTCACTTTGAGTAGAGAATAAGAATTGGAGGGGATAGAGTAGAGCAGGGGTACGGGCTGCACCATTTCTTTATGTGTTCTGACTCTTTTTACTTTCTGTGTGTTCTCACATGAAGGAGAATCAATAGTTGCATTAGTAGTCTGTTTACAGCGGTTGAATGTTCTTTAGTGTTTTTAAGAGTGCTATATTTTTGGCTCTGTTATTGGAAACTTTGTTTGTTGAATCTGAGATAACAAATCACTGGCATCAAATCTTGCAAATGAAGCCTGTGCTTAACTTCTCTTTCCTCTCTTCTCACATCTTCCTCTTCTTTATGGTCCTCTCCACCCTCTGTCCTCTACCCTCTCCTCTTGTCCTCTACCCTCTCCTCTGTCCTCTACCCTCTCCTCTGTCCTCCGCCCTCTACCCTCTCCTCTGTCTACCCTCTCCTCTGTCCTCTACCCTCTCCTCTGTCCTCTACCCTCTCCTCTGTCCTCTACCCTCTCCTCTGCCCTCTACCCTGTCCTCTGTCCTCTCCCTGTGTAGGGGACAGGTACTGGGTGTTCAGGGAGGCTGATGTGGTGCCTGGTTACCCCCAGCCCCTGGTAGAGTATGGTCAGGGCATCCCCTCAGACAGGATCGACACAGCCATCTGGTGGGAGCCCACCGGCTACACATACTTCTTCAGAGGAGACAGGTGACCACATGCCCCCGAATGCCTTGCTTTTACCCTACCATACCTGATCTCAACTAACTGACTGATTAATTATATTTTTTGTAGTGTGAAATGATACATGTGAAAGTTAAATGACATTCATTTAGTCAAGGGAAAGCAGTTTTAGCCCTGACTTTTGAGAGACAGAAAGACATACAGTACGTTTCTTTGTGGTAGTAATCATCAGTCCATTGAACTGCTATGTGTTTAATCATCTCTCTTGTCACCTGCAGATACTGGCGTTTTGATGAAGAGTCCCGCACGGGTGACAGAGACTACCCTAAACCTGTCTCCAGGTGGGGCAAGGTCCCATCCTCTCCTAAAGGAGCCTTCCTCAGCGACGATGGTGGTGAGTGAGTCACTATAAGGGAAACTGGCCGTAAAAATGGAGGGAGGCTATAGATTCTGAGCTGAGAGGGGAAAGGGTTGGGACGCATGAGATCTTTGGTTTGGAGAGGCGCCCATGCTTCACCCAAAAATGGAGTGCCTGGCACAAGTAGTCTAATGTAGACGTCTCAGAATTTCCCACCCCAGCTAATGCTTTTCAAAGTGGTTTCCTATAGTGAAAAAACAAATCTGATGGTCCAAATGTCTTCCAGATAAGTTGTTTTCATCAAAAGGGAAAGGTACTTGTGAAGGAGAATTAAAAACAGTCTCTAGTCCAAGTGAAGCTTCACAGTACTGTAACTATCACTAGCACGGCTCGGCAATGACACTATCCTGTGAAGTGTGATGAACTTGTGTCATAATGAATAAACAGTTGGATCAGAAGATGCATAGCCAAAACAATTAACAATGGCTCAGACTTAAAAATAGCATCAACAATATTTTGTCTTCCCCTACCTACCCAGCTTACACCTACTTCTACAAGGGCTCCAAGTACTGGAGGTTTGATAACCAGAAAATGAAGGATGACCCAGGCTACCCCAGATCCATCCTTAAAGACTTTATGGGCTGTGATGGAGCCCCGGACGTGGACCCAGACCCAGATACAGATGATACAGTTACAGGCCGCAAGTGGCCCACAGTAGACCAACCAAAACAACAACCACCAGTTGGTTCAGACCCGGATGATGTGGACCGAGACACAGATAAGGATTACACCAACGATGTGGATTATGAACCTGATGCAGAGGACAAAGAGGTGGATGTTGTGGTGAGGATGGCTGAGAACGAGGCCAAGGTTATGACCCTGATCATGGTGACGGTGCCGCTGGTCCTGGTGCTGTGCATCCTACTATTGATCTATGCTATTATTAACACCCTGCAGAAGAAAGAGGCGCCCAGACTTTTGGTCCATTGCAAACGATCCCTGCAAGAGTGGGTTTGATGTGATCCAGAACTGGATTCACACATACATACACGCGCACTCACACACATACACACACACACACACCATACAAAGGCACATGCAGTTTGCATACGTACACACACAAACATTAAATAAAAATACAAGCACATAATCTCCCTATCTTTCCCCCTTTACCAGTTTATAACAGACAATTTGCACTTTTAACACCCTGTGTTTAGATTTGTTTTGTTGGTAGTTTGTTGCGGTTTGAGTTTCTTATGTGTTTAAGCCAAAGATTTCCACGAATGTCCTTATAAAACAGAGGTGGTGCGTGTCTACAACCAGCAAAGGAATATCTAACAGTTGTGTGTGCTGAAAACACAAGACCACCACCTCCCACTGTGTCTTTCCTCTAGTCTACCCCCTCAACTACAACAGCCCAGACTTTATCCACAAAAGGGCCAATTTAGATATTGATATTCAGACCCCCTTGGGCGAGATGAAATGCAGGGGTTCAAAAAGGGTTATATCTCATCGTGCACATATTTAGGAAGGCTGAAAGCCTGCTAGAACATAGCTGGGTCTGGTTGACATTACCCAGATGTTGCTGATTTAGTCATTTTGGGTGCAGAGCCGGGGGAGGGGTTAGGAGGCCTGCCAGCATTTCCTTTGCCTAAGTTAGAGTTATTTTCTCTTAGGGGAGGGGGAGGCAAGGGGAGGGAGGGGGGACAAAGGGGAGGGGCGGAGCTCCATTGGCATTGTGCCTCCTGACCTAGATTAGCGAGCCCCACTCCTATTTTTCAATTCTTTTTTTTCTGAGCGGTTTGGCTGGAGATGTCTTCCTGTGAAACTCCCCCTCCCCTGCCACCATGTTTCACTGTAGACATACTCCATCTGCAGTCTGTTTAGATCTGAGAATCTGCTCTATACTGTCTGCCTAGGAGAGGCTTTAGTTCCAATCTGTGATGATAGGTCGCAGCGGTTTGTGATGAGGATTGTTGGAGTATTCACGTTGAATTTAACCATAAATTATGTCCTACAACTCCTTGTTGCCATTTTTTAAAATATAAATGCCCCTCTCTGCACCCTCTTCCTTTATTGCCAACTCTTTGTGTGCCAACTTCTCTCATTCAAAGGCCAAACACTTTTTAAACAACACCCAAAGTGCAATTATTGTATTGTGCAATTGACAGATGAAGACCATTAGTTATAGAGGTTTTTCCTCAGCAAAGCCACTATGCACATGTAAACAACAATGGTCATATATGCTTGAGGTTTGTGGTCAGTTTTGGATCACCTGTGTTTTGTCATTTATTGTTTGTGTTTTTTTATTGGTTGGTTGTTGGAGAGGACGGAATACTTAAAATGGACGTTGTGCGAAAATGGTTTTATTCCACTTTTTAGAATTTGCACAACATTTTGTGTTGTGCTCTCTGTACATTAGCAGAGTTAAATGATGCATGCAGGACATGTAAAGCCTTTACACAAATGTATGAAATGTATAAGGATTTCAAAATAAAACATGAATTATGGCAAACAAGTCTTTGCATGCAATTTGGAGTGAGCATGCTATTATGAGTATTTTTTTAGACTGTATTCAAACAGCAGTTGATGTAATGCCTGTATTTCTAAACTTGACCAAAAGATGGAGACTTTGTACTGAGGATTATCAATGAGTATTGCATGGAACACCGACTGGACAGTATTATTTGACTCTGAATGACTTCTCTATGCTACTGTGACATACTATAGATACAACCTCTGACGTCAAATTACTTTAAACACAGCCTTATTTTAAAATGTAATAGCCTCAAATGGTCTAAAGTGTGCGTGTGAGAACACCTCACTGATGACTTAATGCCACAGTGAATCAGGATTAGCTTCAATCTCACAAATCACCCAATCAGCTCAGACATTGCCACCACCTTTCTCTTTCTGGATTCTACAGACCACCCATCTTTCATACTTTTTCTCTCTCTCTCTCGCTCTCTCTTTTCCTCCATTCTGTCCTCGCACCCTCTCTCTAATAAGTCATTTTCTGGCATGCTTATTTCCTCTAATGGAACTGGCTAACGCTTACCTGTCACCACTGTGTGTCGTCCAATCAGAATCGAGGACAGTATGGCACCACCATGTTCATTCTTCCATCCTGGTCACCCAGAGGTGTCATCACCTTCTTCCTCCTGGCTTATCCCTCCTTTATCTCTTTATGGGATCACCTGCCTTTTAGCTGCTCAGTCCTAAACAACTCCATCTAGAGACAGAGCCATAGAGGAGTGTTTCTCATCTTCTCCACTTGTGGATACCCCCCAAGTACTCGAAGACAGGGGTTCTAGGGGATCTAACAGACCCTACAAAAGAACCCTGCAGACGGGGCTTATTCACTGATGTCTGCAGATGTTACAAAACATCTGTAGATTCCTGAACAAGATGCAGCCATTAGAGATTGCTGTAAGGGACCGATGTGAGCCCCCATGTCTTAGACGTTCTAGATTGTTATGGGTTTAACCTGGCTGCTCAATCCCTTGTTCTGCTGAGGCTGACGGTCCCCTCGTGATGTACAAGTGGCTTATTACACGTAATCTTCCTGGACACAGTTTTAAGCTATCAGGAAACCAATGGCCATTAATTTGCCCAAGGCAAACCTAGTGTAATGCCATGTGCTGAGTGCATGTCCTGTTCCTAGAAGTCACCCAGTCCCTGATTGTCCCTGACAGACATGCATCACAGGTAATGATCCCTTGGCGTGTGCTACAGGGATAACACTGTTTACTACAAGGACACCTTTTTATAGCCCAAAGTGTAACCACACACCACAACAAGAGTTACGTCTGTTGTTATGTACATTTCACAATAATGAGAATAGACAGTTATACTAGCAGCAAGAAGACAATTATAAGGAGAGAGATACACACATTCTGAACATAGTAGCTACAGTGTTAACTACTGAGTACCACTCCACATGGCACTCCACTGACAGTGACCCCTGTTAAAAGCTCAAACTGTTTTATTAATACAACTCAAACAACTACATTTATTCAAACTTCTACAGTATAGAATCTTGTTAGTTTGGGCCTGGGGCTTTGGGGTACATAAACGGCCTGAGGTTTTCATTGTTCTCATTGCTAATCTCAGCAGGATAGTGCCGTCCTTCAAGTCCATAATCCCGTTAGCCGAGTGTCATCCTAATCCAGCCAGAACATTGCTGTCCGTCCTGGGCTCTGTGTCCCTGTCAGGTATGCAGCTGCACCACTGAACATACAGGTAAAATATATTAATACTACCTTTTCACCTAATCTCTGCACGTTGAGTTGACTGGATTTACTAAGGGGTTTCTTTTCAAATGTTTTGGTGAGATGTCAGTGTTGTGGTGTGCTTCTATTGTAAATAGATTGTGATGCTTGTGTGTAAATATTTACAGGTATATGTGAATATTTAAAAGTAGTTGTGGTGGTGTTGTGCAAATTGATAATCCTTGCAATAGTTGATAGAATGTGGGTTTTAGAATAGTTCACTTTGATTATGTTTGCGCAGTTGTTGGTTACAGAGCAGGTGGTACAGACTACTGCTAGTGCTATCGTCTGCAGGGGCGAATCCTCCACTTTTGCATAGCACTTTAGGCTGCACTGGTAGAGTGTGTTTTGTGACTATAAAATAGTAATATACTGGTGCCTGCTTTGATGCAAAGAAATCAAAGGTGCACAGTTTGAGTTTAATCCTCAGATTAGGCCAAATATCAAGTGGCAAGGGATAATCTATCAGAGTTGAGAAAGTCAGTTCGAAATCAGTTTGGGATTAAATGGCCAGCATGCACAGGTTCTCTACAGGTATACTAGTGTGGCAGAGTACAGGTTTTGTTGGTGCGACAGAGTGGGTGCAACATGATCTCACTTGGCATGTACAGTTGGAGAATAAATTGTTGTTGAATTTGATGCTACTTTAATCACAGGCTCAAGTACTGGCAATTGTTATCTTCAAGCAGCATGTGGAGAGCGATTATTGGCAATGACCGCTGTCTTCAACCAGGATCTCAGCGATCACTGCCTTATTGCCTGCGTCCGTAATGGCTCCGCGGTCAAACGACCACCCCTCATCACTGTCAAACGCTCCCTAAAACACTTTAGCGAGCAGGCTTTTCTAATTGACCTGGCCCGGGTATCCTGGATGGATATTGACCTCATTCCGTCAGTAGAGGATGCCTGGTTGTTCTTTAAAAGTGCTTTCCTCTCAATCTTAAATAAGCATGCCCCATTCAAAAAATTCAGAACTAAGAACAGATATAGCCCCTGGTTCTCCTCAGACTTGACTGTCCTTGACCAGCACAAAAACATCCTGTGGCATACTGCATTAGCATCGAACAGCCCCTGCGATATGCACATTTTCAGGGAAGTCAGGAACTTCAAAACGTTTTGGGACACTGAATTTGTCCATGGAAAATAAGAGCACCTCCTCCCAACTGCCCACTGCACTGAGGCTAGGAAACACTGTCAGCACCGATAAATCTACAATAATCGAGAATTTCAACAAGCATTTTGCTACGGCTGGCCATGCTTTCCACCTGGCTACCACTACCCCGGCCACCAGCTCTGCACCCTCCGCTTCAACTTGCCCATGCCCCCCCCAGCTTCTCCTTCACACAAATTCAGACAGCTGATGATTTGAAAGAGCTGAAAAATCTGGACCCCTACAAATCAGCTGGGCTAGACAATCTGGACCCTTTCTTTCTAAAATTAGCCGCCGAAATTGTCGCAACCCCTATTACTAGCCTGTTCAACCTCTCTTTCGTAACGTCTGAGATCCCCAGAGATTGGAAAGCTGCCGCGGTCATCCCCCTCTTCAAAGGGGGTGACACTCTAGATCCAAACTGTTACAGACCTATATCCAACCTGCCCTGCCTTTCGAAAGTATTTGAAAGCCAAGTTAACAAACAGATCACTGACCATTTCGAATCCCACCGTACCTTCTCCGCTATGCAATCCGGTTTCCGAGCTGGTCATGGGTGCACCTCAGCCACGCTCAAGGTCCTAAACGATATTTTAACTGCGATCGATAAAAGACAGTACTGCGCAGCCGTCTTCATCAACCTGGCCAAGGCTTTCGACTCTGTCAACCATCGCATTCTTATTGGCAGACTAATTAGCCTTGGTTTCTCTAATGACTGCCTCGCCTGGTTCACCAACTACTTCTCAGATAGAGTTCAATGTGTCAAATCGGAGGACCTGTTGACTGCTCTTAAACACTAGTAAAACTAAATGCATGCTCTTCAACCGAACGCAGTTTGCACCCGCCCACCCGACTCGAATCACTACTCTAGGCGGGTCTGACCTAGAATATGTGGACAACTACAAATACCTAGGTGTCTGGTTAGACTGTAAACTCTCCTTCCAGACTCACATTAAGCATCTCCAATCAAAAGTTAGATCTAGAATCGGCTTCCTATTTCGCAACAAAGCCTTCTTCACTCATGCTGCCAAACATGCCCTCGTAAAACTGACTAACCTACCGATCCTTGACTTCGGCGATGTCATTTACAAAATAGCCTCCAACACTCTACTCAGCAAATTGGATGTAGTATATCACAGTGCCATCCGTTTTGTCACCAAAGCCCCATATACTACCCACCATTGTGACCTGTACGCTCTTGTTGGCTGGCCCTCACTACATATTCGACGCCAAACCCACTGGCTCCAGGTCATCTATAAATCACTGCTAGGCAAATCCCTGTCTTATCTTAGCTCACTGGTCACCATAGCAACACCCACCCGTAGTCTGCGCTCCAGCAGGTATATCTCACTGGTCATCCCCAAAGTCAACACCTCCTTTGGCCGCCATTCCTTCCAGTTCTCTGCTGCCAATGACTGGAACGAACTGCAAAAATCTTTGAAGCTGGAGACTCTTATCTCCCTCACTAATTTTAAGCGTCAGTTGTCAGAGCAGCTTACCAATCACTGCACCTGTACACAGCCTTTCTGAAATTAGCCCACCCAACTAGCTCATCCCCATATTGTTATTTATTTTGCTAATTTGCACCCCAGTATCTCTATTTGCACATCATCTTTTGCACATCTATCATTCCAGTGTTATTTACGAAATTGTAACTATTTTTGCATTATGGCCTATTTATTTATTGCCTTACCTCCATAACTTACTACAAATATACTACATATATTTTCTGTTGTATTTTTGACTTTATGTTTTGTTTACCCCATATGTAACTCTGTGTTGTTGTTTTTATCGCACTGCTTTGCTTTATCTTGGCCAGGTCGCAGTTGTAAATGTTCTCAACTGGCTTACCTGGTTAAATAAAAGTGAAATAAAATAAAAATAAATAAAATGAAAATATAGAACAACGCAACATCTGCCAGCAAGAGCCAAAGTCAAAGCTCCCCACAAGATCCCACATGACATGACATTGAAAAAACTATTTCACGTGCATGAAAAATGACTGTTATAATCAGCATGGTCTCTAAGACCCCTGTAGCTCAGTTGGTAGAGCATGGCGCTTGCAACGCCAGGGTTGTGGGTTCGTTTCCCATGGGGGGCAAGTATGAAAATGTATGCACTAACTGTAAGTCGCTCTGGATAAGAGCGTCTGCTAAATGACTAAAATGTAAATGATGTGACTAGATGAACCTTCAGGAGTTTCATGTTCCATTACAGCATTTCTGACTGTCTCTGAGGTACCATAGAAACAAATCTGGTTTATTCATATTATGGGATGCTGACCTCGGCAGATGTTACCCTAGTTACTGAGCTGTTGTCCTGGTATTTGCCTTTGTCTCAGAATGTTTAACTGGGTGGTGAAAGTGGTTCCTCAGCCCCCTGACGCCCCTGGCTCTCTGGGACAGGAGACAGCCAATCCCGTACCTGCAGCACCAGTAAGAACACACTACTCACAACTCCTCACAGATCAACTCACCTGAATATCTGATCACCTCACATGATATTACCAAAAAATATTTTAAAAATGACAAAAAAAGACTTGCCCTCTTCACGTTACCTGATTGTCTCTCTCCATCTTTCTCTCCAAAAGCAAAAAGTGTCTAAAGATGAAGTCAGAAAAGAAGGTCATGCTCCTGTTCTTCAAACAGTGTATCATAGCTTTGTAACACAATGAAACAACTGTGAATAAGTGTGTTTTATAAATGCTCATTCAATTTGTTGACCCTCTTCTTCACTTCTGTTTTATGTACATGAATCTCAACAGTCAATGCAAAACCAACCAAACAGAAGGAAGAGGATAATTCAGAGGACAACGGGTACGTGTGTTAAATTTGACCTGTGAACTGGCTGGTCTGCTTGCATACAGAATTTTTTGCCATGATGGTGATGAAGGTGGCGGTGGTGATGATGATCTCTCTCTCCCTCTCCCTCTCCCTCTCTCTCTCTCTCTCTCTCTCTCTCTCTCTCTCTCTCTCTCTCTCTCTCTCTCTCTCTCTCTCTCTCTCTCTCTCCCTCTCCCTCTCTCTCTTTCTGTCTCTCTCTCAGTATTCAGAGTCAGAGTGGAGTGATGACCTGGCTCTCCAATGGCTTTACTAGTGCTCTGCCTCAACCAACAGGCACCCCTAACCTCAGCAGATCTAACTCTGTATCCAGGGTGAATGTTAGACAACCTTACCTACTGTACCAAACACAACCTGTATCAATCAACCAGCCTGTAATTTAATCAGTGTATGTCTTTTTTAATCTGTATAAAGAGTTAATATGTGATTCTATGTTTCTATAATACTATCCCTCCACTTTCTGCTTCCATCCATCAGTCACTGCAGGAGGTACAAAGAGAGGACGAAAGGTACAAAGAGAGGACTTTATTTAAGTGTTGGTTTTGTTGATTCTGTTGACGTTTTGTTGTTGTATATTACTTCAAAGTATGTTGAAATGTGGAAATATTGTGGAAAAGTTTGATAGCTCTATCAATTGACTGAATATTCCTACTTCCAACAGGAATGGGGTGATAAAGTGGATTGCAGAGGGACTGAGCAAAGTGGTGCCCCAGCCGGATGACAAGTACAGAGAGGATATTCGAGAGGAGGAGGAGGAGGTGACAGAGGTGAGTTGACACTATCATGTCACCATGTCACGGTTTCTGTGGAAGTAGATTGTAGATGTATTTTCAGGAGAGCGCATGGTGCTCAGTGATTTAAAATACTTTATTTGTAGATTAAACATATATTTAAAAAATCATGTTTGTCAGGTTGCCTCATAATAGCTTTTAAACAATATAATAACTTTTAAAACATAATTACTACATGCCTAGGAATTATGCTACATTAAACCCTTAGTTCCCCATGATAACGCGATATTCTCACTTAAAATCACTTTTGTAAAACAATTATGCTCCCTGCTTGATGAATAAGCGGAGATGGTCTATAATGTTGTAACAGGCTTTTGAATATCTAGCTTAATCAAAGACAATGGTGTCACAGGGCTTTCAGAGAGCTGTGAACGAGACATGATAGCAACGTAATACCATGAGAGATGTTTATAAATGTAATAATCTGTTATAAGATCCATGGTGTTAAGACATTACCGACTTCCTCACACCATTATCTCATAAGTCTCTATTAGATTTAACTCTTTATTTTACAGTAGGCCTACTGTTAGTTTTAAAAGCATCGAGCCCTTTTAAAATTAAGTGCTTATGGCTTCCCAGGCTCTCCCGAAGTCCGTCTGCTGTAGTTTAAATTATATTATTGTTCAGCTTTCAGACATTAGCTGGGTAGTTTTGATTATTCATATCTGACATTCTGATTATTCATCTGACATAACAAAAATGCCATTGTGCTGGAGTTTCTTTTTCTAATACCGGTAATGAGTTTTTTTAACTTTATGTTCCTCTATCTACTTAAGACGCATGAAGAGTATATCGCAGAGCCATGTGTAAGTACAGCTAAATAACAGGCTGTATCTGGGCCAGACACCCACCCACCCCCTGAGTAGTCCGAGTAGTCTTACAATCAATAGTCTGCAATCAATCCACAATAGCATTTGCTCTAATGCTTCACATGCCATCAAACACTTACATTAAGGATTCAAGGATAGAATAAAATTGTGAAGTTATGGACAAATGATATCAATGATTGATTAAATCTACTCGTTATCTTACAGACATGTGCAATAAGATAGATATGCTAATGATTTGGATATGAAAACATTCTGCTGAACATTTTAACAGCGTTCTTTTGCACATTCTTATATATTGCACACAATTCACATAAGCCCTGTGGTTAAAGGACATTTTAAATTCATAGGAACAGATATGGGTACAATTACAGTGCTATGAAAAAGTATTTTCCCCCTTTCTAATTTTCTCTACTTTTGCATATTTGTGATACTGAATGTTATCAGATCTTCAACCAAAACCTAATATTAGATAAGTGAACAAATAACACAACAATTACATATTTATTTCATTTATTTCATAAACAAAGTTATGCAACACCCAATTCCCCTGTGTGAAAAAGTAATTGCCCCCTTACACTCAATAACTGGTTGTGCCACCTTTAGCTGCAATGACTCCAACCAAATGCTTCCTGTAGTTGTTGATCAGTCTCTCACATCACTGTGGAGGAATTTTGGCCCACTCTTCCATGGAGAACTGCTTTAACTCAGTGACGTGTGGGTTTTCAAGCATGAACTGCTCGTTTCAAGTCCTGCCACTGGACTTTGACTAGGCCATTCCAAAACGTCCAATTTGTTGCTTTCTTGTGTCGTATCGAGTAAATGCTGGCAATTATTGCTGATGAACAAAGGAGTCCGCTCATACTGAACCTGGATCATAAGGTTTATTCATATCACAAGTTTACAGCATAAGTTACAGACCCGCGGTGTCTGGAGAAGCACCGTCCCAAATTAATCTGAATGCTTCTGCCGCCTCCTTGTCTAGCTCATACTTATAAACAATGGCAAAAATGGGTTGCTCCCTCTTTCGTCCAATCAACGGTCTCCCCTGGGGCGTCACCCTACAAACGGCTACATTTGAACTAAGATAAACATCCTCTGGTTCCATTAAGAAAGTCATAATCTTTAATACACTACATTTCCCCCCTTCGAGACTAACTAAAAGTCTCGAAAACAAACAGAATAGGATTATGACTAGTAACAATTTATCTTATTGAGTATCTTTAACATTAAACCAAAAAACATTTTTCTCTAGAGTGTAAATACCTTTCTATGAAATATGAATAACTGTTTATGAAGTGTGAATACATTACTATGAAATATGAACAAATCTGTATGGAGTCTGAATACATTATTATGAAATATGAACAAATCTTTATGGAGTGTGAGAGCGAAAAACTGTCCGGCAACCTTCGTTATCAATCAAGACAGCAAAATTCTCTCACGGTCCCTCTGCCCCAGGCAACCACCTAGATACTCCAGATAAACTCATAAACAATGTAAATGCATTTGAAACTATGATGCAATTAAATACACATGTAAGCCCCTGCAAACAAAATACTATCCAAAAAATGTCCACTCTAAGGCTGGTCAACCCATTGGACCCTACAGTGGACCTCTCCCTGCCTAGACTCCCTGTCCCTAAGCCTCAACGAAATAAACAAAAACATCTAAGATCCCCACATGTATCCAATAACATCAAATATCATTCTACAAAAATTAATACCTAAGAATATGACACAAATTATGTATTACACATGCAAATATGTCCATATTTCATTGCAGACACTGGAATGTAGTCCACTACACTTCATCTCCTCCGTAGTCTCCTCTTCCAATGTATTGTTGATGATGGAATCGGAATCTTTCCACACCCTCCTTGTTTCATCTCCTCCAGTCATTGTCCTTTCATATTGTCCCTTCATATTGTCCTTGTTTGAGTATTTCAATCTCTACATGTTCCCCCAAATGCTTCTGGAAGAAAAGAAAAGACCAAACAGTATCTTTTGCAAAACAACCCTTTCAAATTAAACATCAATATCAACTAAGAATATAAAAATTATATATAAATGATGTATGAATCAATATAAATGATAGAATAATGAACTAGGATAATACGATTCATTCATACACTTCCCCCCTTTGATTCATAACATCATACTAAAATCACCCTAATATTGAAAAAAAAATTGAAAAATGATCAAATAATCAAAAAGGATATTTATCATCCAGTCCCACTTGTCCATCTTCATCCAGATCAGGAACAGTCAACAACGGCATCTGAGTGTTGTCTCCAGGCATCACTCTCCAACCTATCTCAATATCATAGCTTTCTCAAAGGTCAGTAACAAATTACAAACATCACACACAGTGTTATCAAAGCTGCCACTAAAATGTAATCCATCACTGCTCCTACTGGCCTAACTGATCTTGCAACCAAGTCTTCGCTGACCATCCAGCTCCTTCAGATCTACCAAATGCATCCCTTATATTCTTCAATGCATCTATAACTATCTGAACTCTCTGGAATCAAAGTATAGCTAATACTATCAATATGATCTTCCCAAATGTTACACCATACCATGGAAAAAGTCCCCCCTTCTCCCTTAGATTTATCCTTCAATGATAGGCTGATATTCCCATAAACATGCCCCTTACATCATATGTTTTATTAGAGCAAAAACAACTTTTAGCCCTCACTGCTTTCACCTCCAATGCTTCAGGGTTTGCTGTTACCTGATTTTACTTCCCATCTAACAAATTCCCATAGGGTAATTCATTTATCCAAGAACACCTAAACCTAGGCTTAAACAAATGTTTTGACAACGACATTATTTTATCTGTTACTGACTGTTGCTGATCAGTGGCGGCTCCTGAAAAAATTCTCAGGAGGGGCAATTTTTCTGATGATTTAGGTGACCTACACACATTTTTAAAAAGATATGTCCAGCAACAACATGAAGACAGGGGCAGCATATAAGTCAATACCAGAAGCATTTATTGACTGATCTCAAAAGTGTTGGCTTACAAAAGCAAAATAAGTTATCACAGTAAAAATAATCAAGGGTGTTCTTTCACATTCCTCAACACTGCATAAACAATATGTATGGCTTTGTAAAAATGAACAACCATATTCTGGCCAATTGTATAGATTTGTAAATATGAACAACCATATTCTGGCCAATTGTATAGATTTGTAAAAATGAACATGAACAGATTTTTTTATTTTTTTGAATGGCAGTACCTTTCAAACATGTCTGCTTGCAGTAAGGTAGCACTCACAAGGTGGCCAGAGAAAGAGAACCTTTCTTTGGTGTGATCCAGGATGGTGTTGCAGACCTCTTCAGACAGCCTCTGCTTCTCCTCTTCTCTCAAAGCTGTTCTGGGTCTTTTGGCTCCTGTTGCTTCTTGCAGCTGCTGTTGAGAGGAGTCCCTGAAGGCAAACAGACCAATGTGTTTGTTGGCTTTGTACAGTATTGTTGTCTATGTGATGCACAGGTATATGCAATGTATCCATGTATAGTACAAATACTTCAGTTCCACTTAAAATGGGCAGGGATGCATAAAGTCTTTAGTGTTTAAGTTAACCTTTGTGTCTCACATAGCCTGGATGTTCAGCACAGTATACAGTGGTGCTCATAAGCTTATGATCCCATGCTAAAGTTGACTAAAAAGAGGAATAAAAAAGAAAAGAAAATTGGTGTCCTTAAAAGGTTGGATTTTCCAACTTTTTTAATTAAGTCATTAAGATCAATTTCCAAAAGATGATTTTTTTATTTTTTTATTCCTCTTTTTAGTCAGCTTTAGAATGTGTTCATACACTTATGAGCACCACTGTACAGTACACATAGTATATAAAATAAGATAGATTACACCACTGGCCATATATAATGACAATAATGTAATTTCAAACACAAATGCAGTCTCCTTTCATGCATACATTTTCAAATAAAGCTCTGCTTTGAGAAAGATCGAATGATATTGTTTAATCTTTATCTTACCTTATGGCCTGCACACTGCTTGCGAAGCTGTCGAGGGCACGTTTGATAAAGACAGCATCGATGTCCTTATTCTGTAGCTTCTGGTACGGTGGGCTGGTCAAATGAACCCAATGAACCCGTCCGGATGGCTTCAAAACATTCTATG